TTTGGCCGAACCTGTGCGAACCCACTGAATATCACCACTGGTTACAAGTACATACATTAAAGTTTGCTGTTAGTTATATAGTTACAGGTAAACTCTGAAGATAAGAAAAAAAATCTGCAAATAAACCCAACAATGTGATATGTCTTAGTTAAACTGGAGTTGATATACTGTACTCAAATCAGAATTGATGGAGGACTTTAAAAACAGTAAAATTTAACAAACTCAGGACAACATATTTTATGCATAAGTATTTTGCTTGTCTCTCTGGCAACTAGCACTGTCAGATGATAGAACAAACTGCTTTCTGACAATCAAAGACAGGAATATATAAAATTCTCTAACAACTCAATTATCAAAATTACTTAGAATTCCCTAATTTCAATAAATCTACAAACTTTATAATTGCAATATAATATAAGGTCTACATTTGAAAATTTTAAATGCATGTAGAGGTTTATTATTTGTGACCATTTTATATAATTCACAGTGAAAAGATTTTATAACTTTTGCACAATTGTCATGTGGAAAGCACAATGCTTAGTAAAACAGCTTTAACTCTTTGAAAACAAAATTGGCCAAAATTGCCTTATATATTTATGACAAAATTAGTTAAAGACAAAGTTGTTTGACTGGTTTTGCTTTACAAATCCTCCACCACTAAACTTTAATCTGACAGGTAAAAAGAATTTTGTATCCGGTATATAAAAAGAATAAATTTTCAGAGTTTAAAAAGTTAATACACTGGAATTAAGTAAACCAATGATAGTCCATTTCAAATGAAATGGACCTATATCCTTTGTTTATTTGACAACCAGATGACCAAGCAGTTAAGGTGGCAGCCTACTATTCTGGGAGACCTGAGATTCAATCCAGATGGGTCATAAAACTCTAGGAATTTTTTAAGGGATTGGTCTGTCTAGATATGTCAGGCCTGTCCCTTACCATCTAGCCCATTATGGTCTGGCCAAATCCATAATGCAGTTGCTAAAAAAGGCTCTCTTAGTGATCACAGGGCAACAGCTAGAAAGTGGTCAAAATTTGGCAGATAAAGGAAATAAAGAAACAAAATATAATTTATTTATACATATTCATTAAAAATTTATATACAATGGATTTGTCAATTTATAAAAAATGGGAAATGAACATCTCACATATTAAATCACTACAATTTTAGGTTGCCATAGTTAAGATCTGCTCCTGACCTGAACCTAAAATTGTAGAGTATTATGATAAAAACAGTAAGTATATCATAAACTGAATCTCAAGACAACTCCATGATTGCCCCAAAAAAGTATCTGCAATTGTCCCAAATTGCTATGTTTAATTCTAATCAGCTTTGCAAAGAGAGACATTACCCTACCTACATTTTGATATATGGTAAATGACTAGCACAAACATTGTAAGGAACCAAGTCTGAGCGTTATTTTTATTTACTTTTATTTTGCTTTTATTATATTTTGTTTGGGGCTTATGTTTAGTTAGGACAAAGGTTTCCTCACCCATCACCTTAGAAAGTTAAAAAGAGAAGATAAAACCAACTCACCGACGAAAGCGCCATAGCTCACACTCGCACTCACGTGCACGCCCGAGCGGCAGATAGTAAGTCCGCATTGAAAGGGGGGACTGACCTCACAGACTTTTAAGAACTTGTTAATCCTTAAAGGAAACATCCCGATAATTGTTCAATAAAAGACTGTAAAAGGTTAACAAAGTATTGTCAGGAATTAAGCTACCAGATAAACGAGAAAAAGTGAATGTTACGTGTGAGTATGTAAATGAGGGGAGTGTCTCACTTAGAAACTGTGACGTCACCTCAGACTATAAATAGCGTAGCTCAAGTGAAGACATGAGAGGTAAGCTCCTGCATAGAAAGTGTTGGTCTGCTAGTAGCAGTGAACGAGGTGTCCAATTGGAAATAGTTCAAGGCGATTGCAGTTTTCGATTTGTGGATCGAGGAATAGAAAAAGGCTTGAGTTGGAAAAAGGTTCCTAGTATAATTGAGGTGACGGTTAGGATTTGTAGCTATAAGAAATTCTGTACCTTAAGTTAAGGATTGATTCTGTTGGAATTCCAAGGGGAATAGTTCTAAGTTAGAATGAGATTGAATTTTGTCGGGTTGACTTTTGGATTGGATTTGATTGAATAAATTTGTTGTTTTATTGTATATGTTGTAAATAGTTATTTCTAGAATCTTTATTAAACATTTTTATTGATTTTTGACTAACTTGTCTTTAATTTATTTCGGTGCATGCGAAAAGTCCAGGCCTGGCAAACTAACAAACGCGAACCCGCGTAAAGTACCCGTTAGGTACTGGCTCTTTCCGAAACGAAAATCGTTGTAGAGCGATAAGTTAAAAATAGTACTTTACAACATATCCACATTTACAAAGACATCTGAAAACTTCATATGACAATTGTTATAACAATTACCTGAAAGAGTAAAATCTTTCGAAAACAATGGGTTTTCAGCTGTACAAAACATGGATGAAAATGTGAAAAAATACCAACATATTCCATTATTATGTAACTGATAGAAATCTAAAGCAACTTGGCAAGTTTCACCAATCTTATTTTTTATTTTATTTCATGTCCGACTTTTCTCATTGTCCAGGATTCTCCCAGTCTCTCCTACTCCATGCTATGTCTGTCATAAATAATGATTAAATATTTACACTGATAAATAAATGTAGTTTGTGTAAAATCAAACTTTTAGTTTTACAAAATTATAAAATTTTCAACATACAAAAGTTTGATAACACAGGGAAAGAATCTATTCCCATCAGGATATTTGTTTCCATAGAGCCTGGGTTATGAAAGGTTGAAATGGAATATCCCACCACCCTCAATTAAAATTGCACCACAGTCTCATATCACTTCACTGCAATTTATAATTTAAAACACTTCTTTATAAAAATGATGTTAGCATTATATATTATTTGAACCATATACAAAAACTTTTAAAACAAATAGTAAAACTAACATCAAATGATTGGCAAATTGCATTGGGCTATAATTAAGCTTAATATAATCCGGAAATCATTTGGCACTAACCTTAAAGATCAGGTTAATTGGTGTTTATAAATTTAAACAGTAAGACAACATACAACAGCTTAAAATGTAAGCAAATGAATACTCTCTCTCAAAAATAGCCAGATGGCATTTTCAAATGATTCATTTGTATACTAGTTTATTTCACAGGTGTACATCAAATTTTGATGGCTTGTAAAATATATTATATTTGACTTTTTCACTATTTCATATTTTTATGGTAACAACAAAACAACAAGAAGAAATTGGAAGAAAACACAAGAAATAAAACATTTTTTTTTCACCTGTACCATTTACTTCTCAGTAAGAAGTCTTGTTTCTACTCAAACATTTTAAGTAAGTGGGTTAAAGTCATATGAGCTATATTATATTAGATAAACAATTATATAAATTTAATCTAATATATGTTTAAAATTAAAATTAATTCCATATTTATGGTAACAATATGGCATTTGATGGCTTGCAAGTTAAACATCTCTGGGTAATATATTAAATTATATTTTTAAAACAGATGAATTTTAAATCATTTTCTTTACATTATTAATACTCTATATGAAAATAAAAGTACTTTTATTAATAAGATATACATTATTATTAAAACTGTCTTTTCATTCTAGTAATTCTAACAATAATTTTCATAAATCTTATGTTTTCCTTAAGTTATTGAATTAAAGTAAAAAATAATTTAGTTCTTATAAAAAAAATTTAATTTTTACAGTAATTAAACTTTTTCTCCCTCCATTTTTCATTTTTGACCTGTATATTCTAAGTGTGTCTTTTTTCCATAGCCTAAATTTTATGGGCTTGGTTAAGTCTATAATGGGAACAGCTAGCAAGGGATGAGGCTAACATATCCAGGACAGACCAGTGGATTCGTCAATCTGCTCAGATTCAATCCCAGGCTCCCTGGAATAGCAGGCTAGCACTTTTACTACTACAGCTCTAGCCTGTATTGAGTTCTGTTTAATTCTGTTCTCCAGAATAAATTAAGATGATGTATTATACAATATGATATATGTATTAAGTTTTAATTATTAATATCTTTTTTTTTCATATACTTTTTAACAAAAAAGAATAAAACAATTTTATTATACACAGTGCAACTATAATTCAATGCTTAATAAGGTCAATTGTGCAATAAGGTATTTCCTATAACATGTTCTATTTTTGTTTTTCTATTATTTATATTTTAAAAATGTGAACTGTTTTGACACCTATTAAGTAACTATATTCTATTCAGGATCACTTTACCTACTGCAATTTTTTTCTATTACTATATTTTATGTATTGTGTTATCAAACTTTTGTTTGTTTGTTTGTTAAGTTATGACAATGTAACACTTGAGCAATCTGCCTTTATAAATTTAATATTTTAATCAAATTTAGTTTTCAGTATATATATAAATTTAATCTCTAAATATGCTATCCAATGTCATATTTATAGAAGATATCCTCTACATAGACAAAACAATCTGCTGGATTATATCAGTCCATAATATGGCTATTATGTAATAATCAAATATCCAATAATTTTGTCTAGAGGAAAACAGCAGATCATTTGGCCTTACTCAAGTTAATAAATGTTAATATTGTCTAGATAACAGTATTACTGACAATTTAAAATATATTTTATTATTCTGTGTTAAGCAAGCATATTCAATTTTAGATTACTAGAATACCATTTAAATATAAACAGGAAATATTCTCTGCAAAGTCATAAGGAAACTTAAGCTAAATTTAATGCTAAAAAAATTTCAAATATGGCATTGATTTATTCATAGTTAATTTATGAGCTTACAATTAATTTGTAAAAAGAATCATTACAAAAAATGTTTAACATTATTTAGAACTATTTATAAAAGAAAATACACACTATCACACTATATATATATTTTAAACATTGTTAGCATGATTTAAATGATCTGTAGTTAGTTACATAGAACCAAGACTCGCATTTTAATTTATTTTATCTGTTTCCTGTTTTAACTATCACAGGCTGAAATTCCAGGAGGACTGAACTCCCGGGTAATGTCCCAACTTTCAGCAATAAAATGAGGTCACCACTGAAAGAAAAAAATTGTGAAAAACTAGTACAGTATGAAGGAATCGTAACAATTCTATTTCTAATATTGATTATCAGTAATGTAAGAAATACATGTCTTAAACAAACCACAAAGAAAAGCAAATGCACAAAAATGATACAAAGATAACTATTTGTATGCTAGCTACTACTGCAAAAAGTCATTGAAATTATGTATAATGTTTCTCAAGAAAAAAAAAATACATCACAAAATTCAAAAAATTATGTTGTTTTATATTTATAGCATATAAGCATGCAAATAGATTCTTGCTATTGAAAGATAATATATACAGTTAGCATGATGTACAAAATGCAAAGAAATAAATTCATACGACATCTTTGCACTTAATCTGTACAATTAAATTAATATGTACTGTACATAATAAAAATAACAAAAAAAAAAAAATTAGAAAATATAGATCATGCTAGATCAATCAATCAATCTCTCAACAGCTGTTGATATGAAAAATGAAAAAAAAAACAGAACTTCAATCTTTTCATTTCTGAATACAGTAATATCCCGAACTTATGTGATAGGTGGGACCGAGCGATAACCGTGTAAGTCGAATTCGCGTAAGTCGGGATATAATTTCGCAATTTGCGTAAAATCCAAGTCGGATGTATGTAAGCTAATAAATGTTCTCGTTAATCTTATCTCGTCTTTTGATTCGTTCACGGTTGCAAGAAATCACCACATAGAGTCTCTCAAGTCTCCGTAGATATAACAAACACAGAAATAAATAACACAAAATAAATTGTAGCTATGTGTCGATTCCACGTGACACGTCTGAACATGTAAGCTGAACAATAGTGTGGGGGGAGTGAGTAATCAAAAGTTGCGTGGCGCTCAAACAAAAGACGAATCGACAAGATTTGAAAATCGTGTAACTCCAGGTTCATGATATAATATACACTTGATATAATATATACATGATATAATATACACTTTATTAGATACAGACAATATCGGCAAGAAACAGTCTGTTTCTTGTCAGAATATAATAAAAAGATAAGATGTAGAAATATATTACAACTAAAACCAAGATAAGGTAATCTAAGTTTGAAATCACAATAAGCTATTGTTTTAGCAGGAAGAATAAGACCAATCAATTAATCTAGCAATCAATATTTTTCCAGCCGAACAAACAATTGTCAATTTGAGCTCCAAGCTACCCTAGAGGGGAGTAGACCATGCCCGTCGGTTCCTTTGACTTTTTTACTCCTATGGACACGGTCCACAGCTCTGATAAGATCTCATTGCTTCATTAAAGAATTGCATTTGTTCCCATCTTCAACAAAAATGGATATACCTCTCATATATTCTTCCAATGCTGTACCATATACAACCAAGTGTAAGCTGCATGAATAATGTAATCATCTTTCCAAAAATTATAGTTTTAATTTATGTTCAAAACTATCATGTGTTCAGAATTGTACTTTCCCTATTGATAATTTCTGTTTCCAACGTATTTGACTAAACTTTTGGTAATATTATGTATTAAAAAGCAAAATATATATATATCAATTACTAACTTACATTTAGTTATTGGGATTTGTAAACAACTCACCTTAAAAGTAGAACAGCATATCACGCCGTCTTCCGTCACACGACAAGATTTATAAGTTGCAGCACCGCCTAGTGGTTAAATAATTACTAATTTCCTTCCATTTAGATGTTTACGGTTTCTAGTCATCTTGCCGGAAAGGAAGAATTTTATTAATGTTAGCTTGTTTCTGACATCTTTATTTAATTTTTTATTGTTTTATTTTTAAGGAAATAAATGTTTATTATGTTACGTATTGTTTTATGAATCGTTTATGTGTCTACTTTTATAATTAACCTACAAACATCGAATCGGGCACTTAGATCTCTGTAATTTGAAATCTTTGACACCATCAACAATAGCAAATGAACACAGAGCGGTCAAAGTGGCAGCCTACCGCTCTGGGAGACCCAGGTTCGAATCCGGACGGGTCGAAAAATCCCCAGGAATTTTTCGGGTATGGTCCGACCGACGACCGAATGTGTCGTTTCTTGTCCCTCACTGCCGGCCGCCCCATTGTGGGCCTGGCCGAACCCTTAATGGGCTTGCTAAAAGCTATTAGTGCCCACAGGGTGGAAAGAGTTAAAAAGAAAAGAATAATTATATTAAAACAATTATCCGTTTTATAACAAAAAATTATAGCAAACTTAGTTTATTATTTGAACACTTTTGACGTAAAAAATGTACAAATGAATTAATTATTCATCATTTTATATTGACATATTAAGCACCACTCGCGGTTGAGTGGATAAAACCACCGAACACTGGCTGTTAGTTAGTTATGGGTTCACACCTAATCAATGAACTGGTTAACTGAAGTTTTCTGGTTTTCTTCACGTGTCCATCTAAATAAAGGGGCAGTTTCCCATTTAAAGTCATCCCAAGAAGCATTACTCTAGGCACATTACCAATGCGTTGCGTTGCTTCATTTCATGAAGTAAACGACGTATTTTGTTGTTGGTACAAAGATGGCATTTTTCATATTACACCCAGACTGGAAGTGTTCCCGAAATTTATGGATTTAGGACTGAGCCTGACAATTCCGGAACATAGAACTTCCATGAAAATTTCCGGGAATGTTTTTTCCCAGATTCGATCTTCGGTCCTCCAGTGTATTATGCTGAAGCCTTAACGACTCGGCTATCGCTGTATGTTCAAAATCCGCTGATAAATACTAGTTCCTATGAGTTCTACAAAATTTAGATTTAAAAATTAAAATTTGAGTTTCAAAATAAAACAAAATATTAAAAATAGGTAAACAAGTTTTTGTTTATTATTTACAAAATGATTCCAATTTGATTGTAGCAATTCTGTCACATTTTAAGTAATTTCCTTTTAATTAATGTCAGACATAGAAACGAGAATTTTATACCTTGATTCCTTAAATTTAAATTAAATAATTGTATGATATATGATTTTGAAATTATATTCATTTAATAAAAGATTTATTAGTATTTAGGACTATGTTTTACATTAGGTACAGTACATATTATGGGATTCACGGATATAGTATACCGTAATATAGATTTAGCCTTTACCTACTTTGCGAAATTTTATCACGTTAATTCATTTTATTTATAGAGAGAAAATGTATAAATTTATATTTATGCTAGTAATAAGGTGTCATGTGTCCTACGTTAGTAGAACTGTCCTATCGAAAGATATACGCCATATGTGTCCCAGTAGCGTGCCGTGACATTTGATGATAGGGAAGCTGTGTTTCTATAAGAAGTCGGCTTCCAGGGGCAATCAGTTACTTCTTTCTTTAAATGTATTTTTAATAGATTATTTATCTGACGTACTTAATAAATAAACAGGTTCAATATAATTACCTCTGTTATTAGATCCAATATATTCCATATGTCCTCTAAATGCCAATTCTTGCTTTGATAAAAACATATAACATCTATTTATTTAGATATAATATATCTATTAACCGTAACTATCTCGTTATAATTTTCAATATTTATTTTATATTATTTACTAATGTTAAATTCTATTCNCCTGCGGTGCCAGCAGAGTTGTCACCGCAGGTGGCATCCCTGCCTGTAACCTAGGCGGGGTTGGAACCCCGCCCACGCGCGTCTCAACAGATAAGGCCATTCATATACTGGCCACACGCTTGCAATTAAAATATCGAAAAGTGAAAAAAATATTTTTTTCTTTAATTTTCTTTACCACTGAGGCGCCCCCTAGGACTTAGCGCCTGGAGCGGCTGCTCAGTTCGCCCTATGGTAGGGCCGGCTCTGCCTAGAGACGTCACACTTATAAAAATCGTAGACTTCTCTGAATGTATTTTTAAGTAACAGCACAATTACATTCCGAATCGCTAGCCACGATATAAGGGCTACAATTAAAAATAAATAACAAAAACTTACTTGATGAAATAAAATATTTGGTGGATGTATCGGTACATACCTAGTACAAAATATTTTTCGATTGTTTGAATATACTTTTCAAAAAAATTATAATTAAATATAGCTTTGTAAACAAACGTACATAAAAATAACATAAAATATTCTTTACTCTTTAATTAACCCGGCGTGAGTGAGGTCGGGTATGTCATACTCGAGAAGATTTTAAATGCAGATTATTTAATGTTATTGTTGCCATGCAAATCCCGTTGTCACAGTAGCTGGAGGTAAGGGAGTGGGAACGAAACGCAGTGTTGAGTTTAGTGTTCTGCCGGTGTCAGCGGGAGATAAACATGAGCAAAGGTGGCTGGGGTACGTCACACCCGACCTCATAGTCGGTGTTACATTTTTGAATTGGCAGTAAGTTTATGAGTTATAGTTATAGTATTTTTAGATTTATTTCTAGATTTCTCAAATGATAGTCTTTGCATTAGACAAAAGAAAAAAAAAAACCACATCTTCCAAGGGAAACTTGAAAAGTGATTACTGATCAACTTCATTACCTGTTTCCAAAAAAAAAAATGGCTAATAAATATGTCAGGTGTGGTGAGTGTACTAAAAAACAGATAGGAAAACAAAACATTGCTGTTCGAAGTGTGAGAAGCCAAAATGTATGAAGCATGCGATTTTTATGTGTGGAGATTGTGCTGATTTGTAGGTGCAGTGGCGTAGAGTGGGTGTCAGCCGCCCTGGGCGTAGGAAAATTTCTCCCCCTTATTTAGCTATCTCAATTTAAAAAACTAGTTCGTCACAGAATAAGTAATGAAAAATTCCGTGCTAGTGTTGCTACCTTTTTAAAATCGCTGACCCGGACGGCAGGTGAGGTTAGTTCGAACAGAAGTCCCTGACGGAATGTCATTTTGCAATGCGAAGAATAATGTGCAGTGCATGCTGGTTCTAAATCAGTTATATACGAATAAATCGTAGAAGCAAATAAAAAAAAAACAAAAAGGTCGACAGGTTGCGCAAGTTATCCCCGGACGGTGAGGCGATTCCCGGATGTCCGGATGGTAACACTATTCCGTGCTCATTTCAATCGATCCGAATCGTAGGTGAACGAAGATATGAAATAAAATGGTTCAAATTCTTACAAGATATTATTATTTATTGTAAAATTTTGCCGCCCCCTAAAAAGTGCCGCCCGGGGCGGGCCGCCCCTGCCGCCCCCACTACGCTACGCTACTGTGTAGGTGTAATGTTGGTACAGTGCAAATTGATTTCATAAGACCTTTTAGTTTTTTTTTCTATTTTTATAATTGAAAGATACTATAGTTATGTTGATTAATCAAAGAAGTTGTAATTTTGTTAGAATTTTATACGAAAAAATGTTAAACTACCAAAACTTGTACTTTTTCAAAGAAAATATAGACACTTTGTTATTTTAATTTAAAAAAAAAATGCTTTTCAATCTTAAACATAATATTTTATTTACTCATCTTGTTGAATAGATACTATTCTTATTATCCCAAGTGAAAATTTATACACAATTATAGTATAAAAAATTCGGCATGAAAGTTTCGGGTATTTCCTACCCATCTCATAGCTGGTGTAACAATTTCTCACCTCATTCACCCCGGGTTAAGTCTTAACCACTTAGTCAAATAGCTCGCTACGAGTGGAATCAGAGACGGTCCTGCTAGGTGTGTACAGTACATGCACGCGGGTTGCCAAATCCCGAGGGTGCCGATACCGGTCAATTTCAAATGCCTCTTTTGTCGCATCACTAATATATCTCAAAAGACGCGACAGGGTTCTTGTAAATTTTAACGGCCGATTGCAGAGACAGAGTTTACATTAAACGACGTTTACACATTGGCTCTTACTTACTTCGCTATTACTCCCCTGTTTTAGGAGTCGTTCGGCCAATCGGATTATTTCTTCGTGACGTCAGAAATGGTCGTCAGCTATATTCCGAAAGCTTAAGGCCGTCAAAATCATTGTTCGGCAATTAATGACAATCCTTTTCTATTTCGTTATTTAATTTCGTTGCCAATACGATTTAAAATATGAACAAATCCATATTTAGAAAATTTATACCGAATTCGAAATTCGTCTTCGGAATAGATTTTTAAGGAATTATTTCGACATCTTATTACTGTCGAAATGAATAATTTTAAATATTTTATTATTAATATTACATTTTTATATCTATAAACAGATTTCTGTAATTATTAAAATTGTCTCGTTTGTTTAACAGTACAACGACCCCGAAATGCATTAACGTTTTATAACCGACACGATACTCAAATTGTAAATAAATGCATCTGATTTAATTGTAGTTTTAAGTCTTCACCCATTTGAATATCGAAATTGGAACATTTAAAACAAATTTAAAGTATTTCATTTTGTTGTTTTTGTTCCGAGCAGTTAATTAATTAATGAGTAATTTTGTCGATTCGTACCGTTTACAACATTTATCAAAGAAACGATGTCTGTTTTTATCTAAACTTTTCCACAAACAAAGCTACCACTCGAATTGAAAAGCCCTCTAAACCTGCTGTCGAGTGAGTCTAGAAAATAGGTCAAATAACTTGTTTCTAATCGCTGTCTACAAGACAGCGATTAGAAACAAGTTATTTGACCTATTTTCTAGACTCACTCGACCATTTCTGACGTCACGAAGAAATAATCCGATTGGCCGAACG